AAACTGGAGCAATTAACCTGTCTGCTAATTGAGTAGGCCAGAGCGAAGGTTATCATTGGAAGTCTTCTTAAAGGTATTATAGTTTATTGGAGTTCAATGGAAGGGATTTTAATTTTATGATTCCCTAAGTGCCTTGCAAGAAGGACATTACATTAAAGTCGCAGATTCTCGAAAGTAATAAAGTCATTTTCAGCTCTGCTTAATCTAACCATTAAATCTCTTTTGGATCTTAGTTTCATCTTAAAGTATACATTAAAATATCTTTCTTATTAAAATCCCAAACTGTAAAAGTACGAAAACTTTTCTAATTTGAGTGCCGCTTGACAGAAAACCGATTTGCAACCAATAACTGATGAATTTCTATTGCATATTGGTCTCGTCAACTATTTTGAGAGATAGACAGACAGACTTTGACATGTTTCAGGTCACTGCATTTTCCGGCTGCAAAATATCACTCGAAAATATTCCATTTGTCCTGTCAATCATGCAGCACTTTGATTGCCATGCAATATACCAAATATTTTTCTGCGTATGCAACAAATTTGCGCACAATTCGCATTTCGCTTTTGATTGATAACGGCACGCAGACCAAAAAAAAAGGGGAAAAAATGAAAAGTTACATAGATACATGCCTGGCATGCAAATATTGCCACCACATCCCCACCCCACATGAAAGAAATCTGCAAAATTGAATCATTTCACAGTGACAGCAAAATATGAAATCAGAAATGGAATTACAAAAACTGGCAATACACCATCATCCATCCAGGCACCTGCAGTCGGAACGGAAACGCGGCCAAATTGAATTGTGTCACCCTCGGAGAAAATCACCCAGGTCCTTGCCCCGTGCCCCTTTATACCCGCATTGCCCCTCAGGTACCCTTTGGGCATCGTCTGTCAGTGAGTTCTTGAGGTGAAAATGCAATTTATTAGCACAAAAAGGCAAAAGCAACCCACGCGCACACTGGGAAAACTAACCAAATAGGGGGTCAATGAAAATGTTGTTTCCTAGGGGAAAGGTACTTAATAAATATTAAATATCCCCTATTTTATGATAATGGGTTCCCTGTTTTTCCAGTAACATCAAACCTTTAAGGGTTTTTCAAGAATTTGTTTTTCAATATTATTATTAATTATCATAATTTTTGTTAGAAACTCATAAGCATAAAATAACTGTTTGGGGCAACAGCATTTCTAGCATTTGTTCTCTGTGCAGCCCACCATCATCCGTATCCGTTCGTTCTGTGTGGAAAGCCGGAGCGAATCCGTCCGTGTACATGACGCCAATCAAAACATGACGCACGGCCCACAGAGGGCGCCACCGTGGCCCAACGCACGTAACGATTTGGTCGCTCTGCGGGAAGCCAAAAGGAAAAGGGATGGGGCAAGGGCAAGGGAGAGGGAAACAGGGCAACAGGGCGGATGGGTGATAGCTGACACGGGCACGTATGTAGAATTAGTTTACGAATTGCTGCAGGATACGTGGCCCAACATTTTACAGCAAACATTTTCCCCCTCCCCATCTCAACAACAACAACAGCAAAAAAGGGCCTGCACGAAATGAAGGACTTTGGAGTTGGGTAAAAGTAGACCCAAATGGCACAGTGGGGAACTTGTCAAATAAAGAACTTATCGAAGTTATTTTGGAATTTTCCTTATTCAAAGCCATCCGGGGTGGTCTGAACCCAAGCGATATGAATCTTAGCCAGGTTTGATTTCTCAGATGCTTTCGGTTTTCCGTACAGAAGGGGGGGAAGTTCATGTGGTGGAGTGTTTTTGACTGCCAATATTTATCAAGATGGGAAAAATTTGATAATATACTGACCATAAAAAGAAGAAGGAAAGAAGGTATATTAAGGATATCAACTGGGGACCATTTTTAAGGTTTTTTAGTACAAACTATTTCCCTAGAATTTGAGTTTTTAAGTACCATATTTTTGGAGTTCTTCATAAAAAGGGAAATTAACAAATGCAGGGAAAATGATTTCAGAATTTCCACTGTGGCAAGACTGAAAAATAGACAAGTGTGCAAAAATGGGAAGACAGCAACATCATAGTTGCTTGGTTTGGTTGGGGGAATTGGCTGGGATTTCGATGGCAGGGCTTTAAAAAGTAAGAAGGAGGGGGAGAACGGGAAATTAAGGTGGCATTACGGCAGGGTAGGGGGATGGATGTAGAGGAATATGGAGCGCCCCGAGAAGTGAGCAATTTGGAGCGCTTGTAACGCGGCGTCTGCCGACAAGCGACGCAACCTGAGGCACACGAATTTTGGCAGCTCTATTAAGCGATGCCGCTCCGGATTCGTATCCGGAAAATCCCCCCCAAAACCCCAAAAAACCCTTGCCCACCTTTTGCCTCAAACTTCTTTTTTTTTGTTTGCCTCTCTCACAGTTCGTTGATTTTTCTCGTAGAAGGGAAGGTGGCAAGAGTGGTAAAGGGGTAAAGGAACTTTTCCAAGAAAACTTGGCCATGTGTATGTGTGTGGATTTTGAAATGAATATGCATGGGCATGGAGGGGCGTGGCTGGTTAGGGGGCGGGAAAAACTCTTAGCAAAAGTAAATTTAAAAGTTTTTATGCGCTACTGTCGGCGTGTCCGCATTTGGAGATATATATACATACATATATATATATATTTATATATATTTGTATTTGTATGAGTGGAGTGCGCACTTTTAGACAAGTTTTCTAGTTCTTTCCCGGTACAAGGTCCCTCCGACCCCCTGAAAACCCCTTTTTTCGATGCCGTAAAATGTGCGATAATTCACATAAGCATTCTTATCATGTGTGTGTGTGTGTGTGTGAAAGTGTGTTTGTGGAGGCGAGTGGGCGTGGAAAATGATTTGACTGTAAATGTGTGTGTGTGTGTGTTAAGTGCGTGTGTATGCGTACTTCCTGCGGAAAGAAATCACCTACCGAGCATTTAGGCAAGAGAAGTTTTCCCGGCTCACGTTCCACTCGAAAGCCATTACACCGACCCATGGCAAAAATGTTAGTAGAACCAAGTTAAAAAAAGTTTTTAGAAATTTTAAAATTCAATTTAATTGGTTAGAAGTAAATGGAATAGAAATGTATAGAGTTAAGCTGATAATATCTTAAGATATATTTTTCAAAAAAATATTTTTTCTTGAAATATTTGTGGTGATAAGGAAACTTTATTATAATCAGCATAATCAGGTCAAAATGTATGCTTTTATTAAACTTTTCTATAACTAACTTTTCATTTCTTTGTATTGAGCAATAAAAACGCTATCAGTTTACACATTAATCAAAAAACATTTAGAAAATTACAAATTTATAATGACATGGGAATAATAAATTATCAAAAAATTCCCATAGGAACGATTTTTAAAACATTTAAAAAACATTTAACAGCTCCCAGAACAGTATTAAAAATGTTATATTTTAGTTTTTTAAGAAGTAATCAGAAAAGAAGTGGAAAACCTCATTTAAATTATACCCAAAATTGTAAAAAACTTTCTTAATAAAAATATGAATCATATTCTAGGAATTCAGTTTTAAACGCCAGCCTTAGACCATATCGTCCCTAAAAGACCTTTACTAAGACCTAAAGGGTTAACCAAGAAGCATTTATCTTACAGATTTCCCTACTATCAGATCTGCAAATAATTTGCATATAACAAATCGATTTTCTTTGCTGAAAAATCCCCAATAGTTGACATTCCTCTAAAGAACGCCTTTTTCAAATCCTTTTGAACTAACAAATCGCGAACATTTCTTTCCCACAGGTAAGCATGGCGCTAAGGATATCGCAGTAATGGCTCCTGGTTTCTTGCCACCTGGCTTATTACTAACATTTTCGCACGTACGCATCCGAAAACCATTTAAATAACGCTCCATCATCTAACCCACCCATGGCTGGCGTGGTGGAAAACTTTTACACGGCAGCGCTGTTGCTCCGGGCTGCTGCGCTTCATGGACTCCTGGATGGGTTTTGCCCCGCCTCTAGTTTTCCACCCATTTTCCCTGCCCCCTATATACTCCCCTCCGCCCCCCCCCCTGTTTTTCCAACGAACCACCTTGGCTGGCGTTGATAAATGCACGAAGCATAAAAGTTTGAACAAACTACTTGAGTTTTTAGGCAAATTTTCGCCTCGAACTAGAACGTAAAACGTAGCCAACTACTTTCCACTTTACCTGGCGGCGTGCCACGCCCCTAGCTTCCCCCCTGCGCCACGCCCACTTACAAATCGCTGGGCCCATTAGAGGCTTGGCAAAAACGCCGCTAAATGCGACGTGAATTATTTAAGGCACGTGTGTTGTGCAGAATGCGGCAAATTCGACAGTGAAATGCATTTATTATTGAAGATATTGTCGGAGTCTGCTAAGGTGGGAGGGGCGTAGGGGGATGCGGGAGCGGTATCCTTTTGGCCAATTATGTGGGTGAGTTGGAGGATGGCAAGAGAGGGGTGCTTACATTTTGATAAACGTTTTACAGTTTGAGAACTTTTCTTTTCTGGGCTCTGGCACGTGATTGGAATTACGCGTTTTCCGCCCTTGGCCCTCAGCCAGAAATTTACACAAATCCACAAAATGTTGCATGGTTTGGGGGGGTAAAAGCAGGGCTTTATTGGATGAGAGTCGGTGCTGTAGAAAGTGTGTGTGTGTGTTGGTGTTTGTGTGTAGAACATGTTTGGCAATCGACAAATGTTGCACACACTGTGAAAATTAGCATAATTTAGTTTTCGCGCTCGGGGCGTTCTCGAATCTCCAATCCGTCGGATCGCATCACGATTATCGAAATTGATTGAGTGCAAAGCACTTCAGGTGGAATAAATCTTTTTCCATTCAGGCATTAGAATCGAATTTTCAAGAACTCAAATTGATGAAATGTATACGTTATCAATTACAAAATCAAGGGGGTGAACTTTAAATTGATATCAAATTCATTAATAGATATTGGCATGTTGGAGATTTTAAGCAGAAAGATAAGACTGATTAGATTATCTCCCATAAATCTTATTTCATAAACCATTACAAATTATAAGTTTATATATGTTTTATTCAATTGCAGTAGAGTAGAAAATGGAATTACAAAAAGGTTATATAATAGATGTGGGCATGCGGTATAGCTAATGGTTTTACATCTGACGATTATTTTAGGGAAATCTAAAAAGATGAATTGCACCTGAGAAGAAACCAAAAAGAAAGAAATCGATTCTTAACAAGAAAAAGTTATTCTATAAAATAAAAATTATAATATTTTTCAAAATTTATAATTTGTTCAATTTCATTGAATCTTTTGATCTAAAAATGTAATCCGTATCGGAGGTGCTGCCAAGAAAATAGTCTGTGCAGGGCTTTTCTCAGGTGTGTTTAGGGCTTTTCTATCCCTATTTTCTCAGTCTTCAGTTGGCAGCTGGCTCGCCTGCGCCATGGACATGGAGGATCATCTCGAATGGATCCCATTCGAGATCTGACTCGTGCTTGACCCGCCGGCGTATGGCTTGTGGATGGTGTGCATGTTGCATGGCCAGTGGTGGATGGTGTCCTTCCTGATGATGATGCTGTACCAAACCGATGGGCATGTCCTGAGCATGTTCTACCATTCCTGCTGTGGGCGGTGGTGGACGGTAGTGGTGCAAGTGTTGCGACGGATGATGCTGCGGTTGTTGGTGGTGCTGCTGCTCACTAACGATCTCCTGGATCTGTTCACGGGTCTGCTCCCGTTCGTCTACCTTCTTCAGGAGGATATCACGCATAAAAGTCATTCGATCAAAATGCTCCCACGTAGAGCGAAAGCCTTGATGGGAGTATTGGGCATGGCGTTCTTTTTGCAACTCATCCACATACCTCTGCTTGATGATCGACCAGCGAGTCTGCATAAGAGCTGTAAAAAGAGGAGGCAAATAGTTTGGAAAACTTGGGATTAGATTATGATACTGGGAGAATTCTTGCCATATCTTATCATAAAAGAATATTTAAGTTGAATAGGTTAATATATATTCTATAGTGAACGTTATCGATCTACTTACTAGGAGTGAGTCCCATCTCGATGGCCGCCTCCTTCCAAACTGCTGAGGTTCTACTCTGACCCTGTCCCTTCTCACTCCTTTGGCGACCCGCCCAGAGTGAGGGACGGGCCTTGATGGCATCGATGATACGTCCGCGCATACTATTATGTAACGAACTGGGACGTCCCAGTTTTCGCGGAGGTGTGGCCACCGCCTCCGAGACCACGACAGCTGGTGGAGGTACCAACCCAGTGAAAGCCGTATAGGTCATTCCATGACCTTGACCAAGGGTCGGCTGAGCAATGAGATGTGGCAGTTGGGGGGCGGTGGGATTGGTAGCGGTCTGCAGCCAGCTGAAACTGCCGCTCGGACGTCCGCGTCCATGGGAGGCGGTGGGTAGTGGTGGTGGCGGTACTGCGGTAGTTGGTTCATTCCCAATGGGCGGTGGATCAGAGCCAGTGTCTGGAACATCGGAGGAGGACCCATTACCACCGCTCGACTGGGCTCCAACGATCTTGGCCACCGTAATGTTATACATAAAGGACATGGGTTCGAAGTGCTCCCACTTGGTGTTAAAGCGATCCTTGTGCAGGATCTGTCGGTGGACCAAATTGTGATAGTGGTACTTCATCTGGCTCCAGATCGATTGCAGTTTAACTAATCAAGTGGAGGGAAAGGGTTAATGTTACAATGGGTTAAAATAATATAAAATAAAAATGCTAAAAGAGTTAAGACAAATTTTATAACGTGTCAGAAAAATAGATATAATGATGTTTCTCTGTACCATGAGTTGTGATTTCATTCATGAATATTACAACATGTAGTGGCGTGGCGAAGATAATTAAGGCTATATTAAGTCACCCAAATGCATCTATCAAAGTACATTACACCCGTCAATTATTTCTATTGCGAGTGCTTCAATTTGCATTATATAGTGGTGGCGGCTCTTCTACTATTCCAAATGAACGGAGTCCGAGAATTACTATCCCAAATGCCCTTTGACTATTTTCCAACTAAACATAGAGAAGTACTGACATAGGTGGGGCAAAACTAGTAAAACCTTTTATTTAATGGTTTTTGGTAGTTTAAGATTTTATATGAAAACTTTAATATCAATATCTTTACAGATTTTACAGATACTTTAACATTTAATTAGTCGAGGCAGCAATAGAAAGAATATGATACGTATCAAGTTTTCAGTTTTTAGTTTTTAGCCCCCTCGAAAAGGTAAAAGTCTTCGCCACTGGACGCTCACCAAACGCGAACGCAAAAGGAGAGCGCAAAAGGCAGCAACAAATCGGCACCGGTTGCGAGTGGGCGAATGGGTCAGCGACGCGGAGTGTGAGAGGGATTTAAGCGATAGAAGGTCTTGTGAATCGTGAACTAGGATTCTTATGGCACTCACCTGTCGGAACATGACCGCCAAACTGCTCAGCGATCTCTGTCCACATTGGCGATGTGACGCTACGACACATATGCAATTTGTTGTTAGAGTCCCAGATCTCTGGATATTTCTTGATCGCCTTTAAAAGCTGGGCGCGATTCACGAACGGATCCTCCTTGGGCATGGTCACACTGAAATTGGTCACACTGGCACTAAATGATACCGTTGCGACTATTCCAAAGGCAACGTGAAACAACGCCGGCGGAGCACAACTGCGTCCTTTGACATCAATTATCGGCGAATAACTGAAAGTAGAGTTTGCAAAAATATGCGAATTGAAAATGAAAAGGCACAGCGATTGAGGAAAATAGAGAAAACGATGACGGCGACGGCGACGCCAGCTTTTCGTTGTTGTTGCCCCGATGCCGAAGAGATTGGAAAGGCAGCGAAAGCGTACACGAGATGAGATACACAAAATGCAGGCGAGAAGAGAGAACTGGGAGAATGTGCAAAAAAATAAAAAAGTAAAAAGACAGAAAAAAGAAAGAAGAGGCAACAGCGACGACGTCAGTTTTACATACAAAAGTCTCCGCGTGTAGGTGTATATATGAGTGAGTGAGTAAGTGTGTAAGATGGCAGGGCGAAAAAGCAAAACAGACAAAAGCAACAAGACCAAAGAGGAGGCAGACAAAAAGCAACAACATACAACGCAGCAGCAGCGGCGAAGCTCTGAGCTGCAAAAACCGAAAAACAACAGAGAAGAAAAGCACAGAAAGAAGAAGGAGGTGGAGGAGGAAAAAAGCAGCGGGCAGGCAGCCCAAAAGAAAGGCAACGATAAACAAGCTACCTCTCTTTCGTTAGGGGTCTCCTCTCTCTCTTTTGCTTTAACTTGGAGCCACCGAAAATGGTAGGGTGTGGAAGGGGGAACTGTGGGGCGAGCATTAGAAGCAGCGAAATGCGAAACAAAAGAGCAGCGAAGAGTGCAGAGCAAAATGCAGGTCCGCAAAACGGAGAGCAGAGAAATCCACGATGACCGAAGTCGATAGGTAGTCGAAGGGGATCGGGTGTGGGGCAATGCGGCGAACGAGAGAGGGAGGCAGGCGAAGGAGACCCGGAGTCCGAAGCCCGGCTGTCTAAACCGGAGACCCAGCAACAAAAACAGCAACAACAACTGCAGCAACTACATCCAGGGCAAACAACAACTGCAGCACGAACACGCAACAAAGTGACGAAGTAACCGGCGGACAGTGGGACGCATTGGAGGTGGCACAGTTGGTACAACGGGTTGTGGGGGGCTAGTAATGCACATTCGATAGAAGTGCCACAACTTTCTAGGATTTTTTATCCTTAATATAAAGCAGTACAACTAATCAGATTCTCTAGTTTCCATTCAAATTTGCAATTTACTTTTACAAGCATAGGTAAAATACAGCTTTATCAAAATTATTTTCGTTCCAAAGAGGGAAACTCTCCGTTTGGTACCCTCAAGTTTAATTTCAGCATTTCATTTAGCCATTTTTCGCCAGATTTAAGAAGTTGGTTACGTGCAAAAAAGCGCCATCACTGGTGGGTCGTTCGGTCGTTTGGTCGGTTCGTCGTTGGACGATTTGGGCGCTGTGCGTGTGTTTGTGCAAGTGTACGTGCAATGAACCCGCAACTACAACTGCACACAATTGCAGCACGGACACTCGCACACCCTCCCACATGCCCTCCCAATACACACCGTGCGCCTTAGTATTGGTAGCGTTTCGTAGGCGCAGCGTTCATTTACTCAGTGCCCCAGACCCCGATGCCGAGCAGCGACCCACAGCACACCTCCCTCACCACCCACACCGCACCACCCACCTCATGGCTTACACCACACCACTCTTACCTACCCGCCCCCTTAGATATCTACATTCACCGGGCGAGAACGAGACTGCAAAACAAACAAGATTCGGCATAAATCAGAGGTGGTCAACTATTTACATAGTGGGGTGTTTGCGTTCGGGAGCGGATTTGTGTTACTTAAAATAAACCAAAGAGCGCCCATTACAGCGATTTCAAAATTAACAAATAAAGTCGGAGAGAAAGTTTAAATTTAGTGCTGACAACACTTTATTGGTTCGTTGCTAAAAGGTTGATTAAAGAGTTACTGACCTATCTTATGGGAAAATGCATTTTTACTTATGATATGAAGACAGTTTAGAGATAATATGGGCAGAAAAATACTTTTTCGTTTTAGGATGTACTTTTAAAGATAAAAATATGTAAAATTTAAAAATCAAATCAAGTTAAATGCTATCAGCCTACGAAATATTAAAGTTTTACGATTCTGAAATCAAAATATTATGCTAAAACTATAAGAAAACAACATAAATTTTGTCGTTTAATGGACTGGACATTAATACTAATTTAAGTACCCAATGTTTATACGCAACTCGTTTTAAGACACCAATTAGATGGCTTTGCTATTATACAGAAAAAAAAACGAGAGAAAAACGATTAAGTTGATGCAATAAAAAAATTGAAATGACTGAAAACGCACACACACACATATATATAAAGTGTATATATACGATATTGTTTGCCATCAAACGACATCGGAGATGAAAGTCACTCAAGAATCAATTCGATTAGCGCCAATTGCTTAGTATATGATGTGACTGAACGGAATGGGCCCTATTTGCTGGCATAATTTAGCAATGAATTGGGGTCGTATTTGGGGATGGGCTACGACTACTTATCCGTGCCCCCGCTTAATTATTCAACGACAATGGGCAATTGTCAATGGCGACTCTATCAATCCGAGATGGCCACTCCACTGTGCTGGCTGGCAGTACAGCACATCTCCGTGCATTTGTAATGCGGCTGTTAATGTTTTTAATGTCCCCCCCGGTTTTATTGGCTACTGTTGCGAGATATCTCTCTGTGGCCCTGGATCCGTAAATATGTATCTCTAAGATGCGTAACTATGAGCCTCCCCTTACCGAGCCGCATAATGAACGCACACGCACTTTCTTATCGGCCAAAAAAAAAAAAAAAAGAATAGGGGAGAGGGTCGGCGTCTTTAATTTTTATGGCAGCATAAATGGTCCACCGTAATTTGCTAGATTAGAATTAATTTGAGTCGCAGTCGAGCAGTTAGAGAAGAAGTACTTGCTGGTACAGTGAAGACAGCTCTAAGACGGAAAATTTAAGGGAGACTTTTTAAAAAGAAAACATTACATTTAAGAACAATTTAATGTTTTTCCATTTCATTTTTTATGAGATGGTATAATATCTATAGTCAAAGTATATTTTTGAAATTTAATAAAATACGCAATTTCCTTGAGCAAGGTTTACTTTCTTAATAAATTCTTCTTTAGTTTTTCATTTTCCCTTTTGTCACTTTCTAAGTTCCACTGTGTCCATAATTCTGTGTACTGCCAATGCCTGTGGACAAACTTCGACAGTAAAAAGTAATGTATCTGGGGATGGATTCAGCCGGGGTCGGCCTCACATCAACTGCAGGCAGATATAGAGAGGCTGCTTGGTCCCAGGTTCCAACTTCCATCTACCATCTACCAGGTTCCAGATTGAGGTCCAGACCCAGAGCCAGAGCCAGACCAAGGCACAGGCTCAGGCACAGGCACACAGGCTCCACATCAATTGTCGTTCTGCGGATCGGCAGGGACCATGGAGCTGGGGCTATCTGCTGTATGTTGCCTTTGTTGGGTTTTTATTTTCATTTATGCTTTTTAAGTGCTTCATTAAAATCGCGTACGGTAAGCGGGGGCATGTGCGGCATGGCGGGCGGGTAGACCTTTGTCAGCGTCATCATCGTGGCACACACACAGGCAACAACAACAAAAAGTATCTTTCGGATACATGTCCAAAAAGCAACGAAAGAAAGCAACATGGTACGAACGAACAACAAAAAAAAAAACGCCAGCGACGACGGTGAAAATAAATAAAAAGAATTAAATCCAAACATGTTTTTACTCGGCTCGCTTCGTGGCTCTGGCTGTGCCTTAAGAAAAAAATAATAAAACGAAAAATCAGTGGAAAAAATCAAAGCAAATTCAACTTGAACAGAGAAAAACATTCTGCGGGGTTTTTGATTTGAAATCTCTACAAAAAAATCGATTCGTATTTGTATTTCCAAGTAAAAGGAAAAGCTTTACAAATCAGGTCATTAAAAGGGTCTTTACTCAAAGATATTTTTTTCTAAATGCTACTGTCACTTACAATCGATCAGCTTTAAGAAAATGGTTAAGTCATAGATAATGAATATTATATTTGAATATCAATTTTATATTTATTACCCATCATTGAGTGAGATTTTCCGTATCGATGAATGTAAACTACAGTTTTAACCATATAATAAGTTTTCTACATAGACTAGCTTTTAATAACTTGAATAACATTAACATTTTATCTAGCTATTTATTTTTCTCACTGCAAAATTCGAGCTCATGCTTAAACCCCAACTCCAATCGCAGCTCCAACTCCGGTTTCAAGCCTATGCCCCCTGCATCAGTATCTGTATCCCTGGGTGCCTGTGTGCGCTGTATCTTCGACTGCGTGGCAATAAGTGTGCCCCGTTCACAAGGCAATGCAAAAAAAAAAGAAAAGAAAAAATCAAAAACCAAAAAAAAAAACAGAAAACAGCATTAAGCATCTTGTTGTTGTTTTTTAAGGTGCGCATATAAAGAGGCCTTAACAGCCAGCCATCCGACCAGTCTTCGGTCCGTTTCCCCATCCTCGTTGAATCACAGTGGATTAGGTCGATGAAGAGCGCTGTCAAAAATGTACATGCAGCCGGATTAGGCTTATTTCAGATGTGTGGGTGAAAGAATAATGCCCCACTATATGGATAGATAGAAGAAAGGGGGAAAGATGGTGAATATAGTTGGGTTTTCAAGTGGAAAATAATCCATATAAGATTTTAGATATCTGGCTTATATAATGACTCCTACCACCAACCTATCGAAGTCCTTGGAACTCGATATATCGTTCCAATTTGATGTCAACCGGATATCGAAATCAGAACTATTATGCTGAAAACTACTTACAGCTGAATCCCATAAAAAGAGAACCGCGAATAATCGTATTCCATGGGCACACAAAAGCTTAGTAGTCCAATCCTTGTGAATTATTTATAAGTGTAAAACCCTGAAAAGCGTCTACAGTGCAATGGCACCGATTGCCAACGTCAGAGATAACAACAGCAACTCCAACAGCGACAGCGACAGCGCGGCAGCGTCAGAAACAGCAGAGGATCGCATTTAAGGCGCAGCAGCATCGCATCGCAGAAGAAGCGAAAGAGGTGGGACGCGAACAGGACGAGGAGAAGTGGAGTGAGTTCGCAACTCCTTTTCATCCTCATGCCATGTGCAAATCACATACAGTAGCAAAAAATTTCGACAGTTATTTACGATTAGCACAAAAGATACGAGACATGACATGCGCTGAATGGAGCTGGGGACTGGGCTTTGGAAATGAGTATGGAGTATGGGGCATTGGGGATCTGTGGATCTTTTGGATGGGGTACTGAAACCGGGGGGACAGATCGGACGGACTGGAACCTCTGGAACCCAGCTACAGAGATACAGCACCAGCTTCGGCCTACGCTCCCCACATCTGTGCCGGCTACTGTTCCAGCGGATACGTGTTGACTCAGCGGGTGTCGGGCTGGAGATCTCGACTCTTCAGGTAAGCTCTACGTGTATGCAGTCGACAAGGTACAGTTGCAGACATA